CGATTTTGAGCTCGCGTGCAGTCGATCGAGACGGCAGAAATGATCTTGTCACCTTTGTTGTCACCTTATTCAAATGGCGGCGACTAGTTTGAAGAGGACACGAGACCATCAATCATGAGCGGTTGGAGACTAAGTATCGATGCAGTCAGGCTGGACGACGCCAACTTCGCGGAGCTGCAGGATCTGGACGATGACGTCTTCGGTCGATTCTCAGCGGGAGTGGCAGAAGTCGACAGTTCCGACTCGAGCTCCGACGACGACAACAACTATCCACCGGCAAAACGCTCTCGCCAGGCGTTAACAGCAGCAGCCATCGCCGCCCCCTGCAGTGACGACGATGGGTACTTCTCTGATTGCGAAGAGAGCGGCAGCGATTCCTCATTGCAAACCGGCGTCAATCGCGTAGGCGAGCTGGACCTGGCGGCGCTAATCGAATCGGATCTACGTGATGATGCGTCCACAGGCTGCAAGTGCAAGGGGACTAATCATTACCGTGACCTGCCAATGGATGACCTGCACGACCTAATGGTGTCAATCAAGCAAATGGACAAAGCTAGTTTGAAACAATACGTGTTGGGCCAGTTAGCTGGCAGCATCTTGCCAAAAAGTAGTGCTGACGAGCGCAGGACATTCCGCTATAATGTACTAGGTGTCAATGTCTGTCAGAAGGTGTTCTGCAACGTAAACAGTTCATCGCATCATACAATAGTGTCCCTCCAGCACCTGACCGAGGAAGGAGTTGCTGAACTGCCTGCACATCGTTGCAAAGAGGGCACACCATGGCACGCGCTAACACAGGAAATTGTGCAACAAATTGTTCGTTTTGTTGAGGTGTATGCAAGTGTGCACCGCATACCACAACCAGCTGGACCTTGCCATTACCCGCATCAACCATCTGTATACATACCAGCAAGCCACAAGAAGGTCATGTTGCACAAACAATGCAATGAAGCTCGGATTAAATGAAGCTCTGAAAGAAAGTGGTGTGCGTGAAGTTGGTTTTCGTTCATTCCGGCGGGTGTGGAAGGCTCATCTTCCCCATGTCCGAGTCATGAAGTGGAGATCCAACGTCTGCGCAAAGTTTCACAGGCTCCGTTACATGGTCACTCATGCTCGAACAGAAGAAGAGACAAAAAAGGCGACCAATCAACTGACTGATCGCTTGAAGAAAGCCAGTTCTGAACGCGTCGACTACAACGAAGCTATCCGGAGCTCCAAAGCGTCTTTGGATTTAGAAGATGTGGGACCACCTGTGCCACTTTTGATTTTGCCCAGCAGGTGGATCTTCCTTGCCACAAGAGAGAAGTTGGACCTCTGTATTTCAAGGTGGCCTTTTCAAGTCCAGGCACCTTTGGGATTGTCCGGGAGTCCAAGCACGAACAGTGGAACTTTCTGTTAGGAGAGAATCAGTGCATTGGTGCAGATGGTAGCAAAGCCCACGGGCTGAATGCGGTCTTGTGCATGCTGCACTACTATTTAAAGCATGCAGGTGTGAAGAGGACACTCCACTTTCATGCTGACAACTGCACGGGAAAAAAAAACAAGAAGAAAAGTGTCATGGCTACGTTGGCTTGCTGAAGCGCGAATGGCGGTCCCAAGAGAACGACATGATGCAGGATGTGGAAGATGCAGTCAACTCGTCGCGTGGGCGGAACAAAGCGGTGATGTTCTCCTGGAGCTGGCGGCAGTGGGATGCTTTTCTCTTGAAGTGGTTCAAGCCAATCAAAGGCATCCTCAACTACCAGCATTTCCACATGAACATTGAAAGCTCACATTGAGTGCCGCGTGGTCAAGCTACAAAAATCGCAATCGTCAGAGATGGAGTGCTGCACCAAAAGATCCTGAAATTCTGCCGCCGGAATTGCCTGCGAAGGGGCTTTCAGATTATCTGAAAACATACCTAGAAAAAGAAATTTCTCCTTTTCTCTCAACTAAACCTGATGAAGGTCTCCCATGGGCATGGTTCATGTGCTTGATCTCCTGGAATGGCCTGTCAACTCCACCAGCCGATGCTCAGACCAGAAACGATGACATACATTTCCTGAAATACAGAATTTGTATGTGCTATGCTTCAAGTATTGATTTGAACCATTTTATATGTGTCATATGGATCCCACATTTCAGCTGCAGAAGCGTCTGATCATAGTAGATCACAAAATTATAAAATTAAAAAAGTCCTTATAGGTTTACTCAGCCCATGTCTCAAATACGTGACAATTATGTGTGCGTGTTTGTGTGTAAACATTCAATACTATGACTCTGACTGTTGCTGTTGTCTGTTGTGTATGACTTCAGTTGAAGTACCAGCCCATTATCAGTATTGCAGCCGAAGCTCCTCCGTAACGTTTTTAGATCACTTTGGATGGACTTACACCGAAGCGCAAGAATTGTGCAAGCTGTATAATGGAAAGATCATCTCGGAGGCATCGGTCACAGCTGGCTGTTGGGACGCATTAAGATATCATCGTTTGGTAGCATGGAGAGAATCACCAGGAGAAAAATTATACACTACAAAAGATGGACATGTGGGCCAAGGTGATAAGCTGCCCACTATTTGCGAAATACGTAAGTCATGCACCAATTCACTTGGAAAGCACATTATTTTAAGTTTAACACTGTCGAGGGTGAGGCAGCAAGCACCTCGCGGAAAGGTGAGTGGTATAGAAGAGGATGGTTCTGGCTCACCTGCTTTTTCGGAAATTTTCTAAGTATTGGAAATAGAAGAGGATGGTTCTGGCTCACCGGTTTTTCCAAAATTTTCTAAGTATTGGAAATTAGCGGAAGATGGTGTATTAGGGGTGAATGGGTTATTAGGGGTAAATTGAATATTAGTGGTAAATCTTGTAATTTTTGCGCTTGCTTTACTCACTTACTATTTTTTTTTCCTTTTTTTTGATCCAAGAGGGTGGTGGCGGTCCTGCGGATGCGGAAAACTGGGCCTTCCGCCGAGTCTCACGCGAACCGTGTTTTTTTGCGCTTGGTCTTGCACTTACTTTTGCATTAGTTTCTTGAAATGCACTGTTCACGACTTGTAGCAATTTATCCAAAACTTTATTGTAAAAAAAAGTAAAATTATCGTATCCGTTCCCGATGGGAACTCGCGTTCCCGAAGGGAACTCACGTTCCCGAAGGGAACTCACGACGGCCGCTAACACCCGATAAACCCTAGCGGCCCTACCCTACCCTATCCAAAACTTTATTGTAAAAAAAAGGAAATTATCGTATCCGTTCCCGATGGGAACTCGCGTTCCCGAAGGGAACTCACGACGGCTGCTAACACCCGATAAACCCTAGCGGCCCTACCCTACCCTACCCTTATTGTTAGCTGCTGAAGAAGAACACCACACACACACATCAAAGCAATTGCCTGACTCAAGCTAACAGTCCTAAACTTCTCTCTTTCTCTCTTCTCCTTTTTACTATTCACACCACCCTACTGGAAAACATGCAGCGAACAACAAAAACAAGACACAGGGTGTGTATGGAAGACTTACCTACCGATGTGCTGGAAGCAACTCAACCGACTAGAGGCCTCGGCGTCAGTGTTGCAACTCGGCATTAAACACTTCTAGGCGAAAATTAGTGAACGGATTGTGACCGTACGATATATGCGCATACTATCATACATGTAGCTGTTTCATGTTCAAGATTGCCACAAACGGGTTCCATCAATGTGCAAGCGCAGGCAAAAAAAAGCACAGGAATGAACACAGCGATGGCAGCCGAAGCAGTGGAGGCGGGGCAAGAAATCTGATCAAGGGAATCGGCATCAACAATGCGCATGCACGCCAAACCAAAGCGGAATCGACAAAATAGTGCCATGCATTAGTCTTATGTATCACTGCATTATCTTCATTACAAAAAAATTCAACCAAAATATAGCCGCTAACGCGGGAATACAAATATATTTTCTACAGAAAGCGAGCAGAACTAGAAGCGGCAACATGGTAATAGCTGATGTTGACACCACATTCTACCCCACGAAACAGTCACATATCGCTAAAAGCCCTACTTTTAGGAAATAGCCGCTAGCCATGACAACTATCAAACACAGGAAATAGCTGCTAATAGCATGAGTGGGAGTAGATGATACGGTTATGGTCACTATATTCCAGCTGCCAACAATGGGCAAATGTCATTAATACAGGAAATAATAGCAATGAAAATTTTCAAACGCGGTAATAGCCGCTAGCAACGTGTGCATTAGAAGAAGATGGTTTTAGACGCCAAATTCCTGCAACTACCACTTGCAGATGCCGGTAACATAAGAATTAGGCGCTAGCGATGACAATCTGCATTTATCGCAATAGCCGCTAAGCACACCAGTACTAGACACAACATGATTTTAACTGCCATTTCCTGACTACACACGCGGGTAAGTATCATTAACACTGGATATGGTCGCTAATAATGACAGTCAACTGCTATAGCAATAGCCACTATCAACACTGGAATAGACATCCATCAATCGTAGTTTCTCCGCTACCACTATCTTCGTCTCCTACAACTTACTTGAAATATGTTAGCATCTCTTAAGTCTTACAATGGTCTGCAGTGAGGGAAATACTACAAACTACAGTATGTAAAGGGTATTAGACCAGAGGTAATCAGTGTTGGCCTTGTGGTTCATTGCTGCGATTTCGGAGCAGAGGATCGCAGGTTCGCCGCTTTCGCCGCCACTCTGGTCAGTTTAAAGAAGACATGAAGAGGGTGTGGTCGAAAGATCCGGCCGGTATCCGGTTGGATTTGGTACAAGATCTGGTTGATCAGTACTAATAGGCCATTCACACGACGGGCAAACTTTATTTTTATCGTACCGTTTCCAAGGATATTTACTCGGATACGATCAACTTGGACACACACGTGCAACTGATTTTTTATTTCGGCCGAGGCCCTTTTGCTCGCGATTATCTTTGCAGCCCAGGAAAAGTGTCGGTTGTTGAAAGTGCGTACTGCAAATGCAGTGCTTGAACAAGGGAAAATTCAAAATTGAACATTTCCCGGCATTTTCAGGAGGTCACTATGGATATATTGACGGGTACAAAGTTTGCCCAGCACCGTGTGAAAAGGATCACGGTTTGCCAGTGTTATCTTGGTCACACGTGTGCCAATGTTTGCACGTCGTGTGAAGGGCCTATAAGGAGCTGGACCTGTTTCTCCCTCATTGGTACCACGCGGACCAAAACACACAAAGTGGCTGAATGCTGCCCATGGTGGAGGTTCTTTTTCTCTTTTTTTCTTCTTTTTCCATTCTTTTTTCTTGAGCAGCTTAGTACATCTAGCTGCTTGTGTATTTTGGTTGTTTGCTGGATGCAAAGCTTACGAGCTTTTCTCATGCAAGGCTAACTTTTCGGCTAACTGTCGACAAACGTTGTGATTAAAATTGTCCTTGCCATACACAAACACGTCACGAACCCCAATGATGGGTTAATGGTAAAGTGTGTTCATTGTTCTCAGATTCAGTTCCATTCCTGCAAACCACCCTGAAGATGTCACACCCTAAAACATGTTCTCTCTGGAGTTTGAGTATCAGTGGTTAGTTCACGGACAATAGAAACTGAGAAACGGCATCTTACCTGTAGGACTGCGTCCGTAAAATGAAGTGATTGTTTGATAAATTTAAAGATGTGAAAAATATTTCCTCCATAGATTGAGAGGACACAGTTGACAGGAAACTGTGTCGCTTGATTCAGATATTAGTGGCGAAGAAGCTTTTCTGACTGACGGAACGATTGCTGGTTTTCAATCGATTTGACTGTCTTGATATAGGGGACAACAAAGGATGCCAGTAGCCATCAGCTAGATGCTCCCCGCCAGATGAAAAGACATTATGGTCCAGGAGCTAAAGTTGAGGATGAACCACCGGAGAAACGCGCTAGAGAAAGTGATGATGGGTTTGAATTGGTTGATGTTGCGCGACGAGGTGCGCTAAAGACGTACAAGATGGATGTGTAAATGACTTGGATCTCGTGGTGAGTTTGGATGCGAATTATGCAGCCTTTCGCAAGGTGATGGAAATGGAAATAAAGAGGAATAATGGAATCAAGGTGATGCTGGTAGTGAACATTCGGATGTCGAAAGAGAACCAGGGAAATGTTATCAACCAATCTCCTCATTTTAGATCCAAGATGAAGGTCCTGTCGAACGAATTACCGATTGCTGGTATCACTAACGAGATGATGTCAGATGTACAGAAAATGGTGGGGCAATGGATTAACAAAGGTTCTGGATGGACCACGACAGAGTTTTCAGCATGGACCTAAACATTGCGCGATATCAGCCTATGAAAGCTGGTTCTTACATCGATCTTCCGCCATACTTGAAGGCTAAAAGGGCAATCATCAACGTTCAAAACAAAGACGACCAATGCCTTAAGTGAGCGTTATTGAGTGCATTACATCCGGTCAAGAAGAAATCAACACGTGTGAAGAAATACATTAGCTTCGATGCTGATTTGGATTTCACAGATATCACGTTCCCTGTAAAACTGAGTGATATTCCCAAAGTTGAGAATCTGAACCATTTGGGCATCAATGTGTATGGATATGATGAAGGCCTGCATCCCCTTTACCTCTCTGAATGCGAGGATCCCATCTGCATACTCTTGATACACGATGAGGAAGAAGTCAAATATCACTACTGCTCGTTAAAGGATTTCAATCGGTTATTATTCGACCAAAACAAGAGAGCCAATCGCAAGTACTTTTGCAAAAGGTGCTTATCTTCCCATAAAACAGAGAGCGCTCTCACACGGCACAAAGAAGATTGTAATGGCGTTGGAACCGCCCCTAGTAAGATTGTGATGCCCGACCAGGACCAGGATGGAAACGAGCCCATTCTCCAATTCAAGAACTTCAAGAACATGATGAAATGCCCGTATGTTATTTACACTGACTTGGAGTCCATAATTCAACCTGTTCACGAACAGGCAGGAAATGGGACGGTCCGAACCGGTATTTACAAGCTGTGTAGTTTTGGTGCTGTGGTGATACGAAGTGATGGTGAAAATGTAGACGAATGTTTCTACCGAGGCGAGGACGCGATGGAGATTCTGTTTGGATGGCTGGAGTCAAAGGAACGGGATTTGCAAGTGGAGATGGAATCAAGAAATAGCGCTTTCGATCCTGCGCAACTGAGTGATGTAGAATGTCGAGCGCATGCTGATGCTACGTCATGTTGGATTTGCAGCCAAGCCATACAATTGGAAGGTACTATGACATGAGAAGCTTGGGAGACGTACCACAGATCCTCGATCCTCGATCCTCGAACTCGATTCAAACAGAGTTTGAATCGGCCAAGAGCGCAATGTGGTGATGTGGTGTATTGGATTCTAACAGAAATTTTCAAATCTATTATCACACAGGACCAAACGTGGAAATTTGATATGACAGAAGTTAGAAGAAATTTTTGGGCATTGACCCCTACGTAACATGGGGATGGAATATTGCACAATGGAAATTGGTACGCGAGGGTCTCAGAATGCCTTCTTGTCAGGATTGAGAACTCAAAAATGGCCATTGTTTCATATTTGGAAATTGTGCCTCTTTGCGTGTGTTTGTAGCGTGTGTTTCCAGACGACAAGCTGAAAGAGATCCTACGTTAATGACTGGCAATATTACATGCCCTTTTGACGGTAAGTATTTGTCGTCTCAGTCTGTAGTCTGAAAGAGACCACTCAAATGGCAATGATGTGCAATGGATGTACAGTACTGCTCCATGAAATCCAGCCGGCGTCACTCAAGTTTGCACCTTCGATCAATTCGCAGCCCAGTGTTCGCAGGGCTATGGTTGCTTAGCGCCCGCCGCGTACTTGAGTAACATGTCTGGATTTAATTGAGCAGCACTGTTTGAGTAAATGCCTGAAATGTTTATTTTACCCCCTGCAATTAACCTGCAATTCCAAAGACAACAATGACAAAGAACCAGCCTTGCTCTCCCTCCCCCTTGTACAATCGTGTTTGCCACAATGAAGAGGAGAATATACAATTTATAGAATGGTCTGGGATTGAGAGCCAAGGATAAATTTATAGAAATAAACAAATTCCCAATGAACTACTATAATGTACACTTACACCACCAGTTAGTAAATAATTGTCTTTTGTTTTACTTGACTGTGTGGATTGCGTTGTGTTTCCTATGATGAACATTTAAAAAAAATGCTGCGAGTCTCTTCTCTCTGTTGTTCACCTACCATTAAGAAAGGGTTCGCTCCCCACACCGGAGCTCGCGCTATTCCGCGGACTTGACTTGACACTTGACTGACTCACGACTGTCATCCAGAGAACACGAGAAGTCCATTGAACCTTCGACTGGGCAAACCTGCAAGAAATCACACTCTGCTCAATACACAGTGTTTCAGGGAATTCACCCCTCATCAGTTGACATTGAGTAGGCTGAGGAAGATTGTGCCTGAAGAGCACCACTTATAATCATAGTGCTGTCCATGCACAAACATCACCAGGGATACAAACTTACAGAGATGCTCCATATCCAGCGGGACAAACACTTCGTGAACACCAGATAGCAGCGTGAGTCAATGTCGCTCCTGGACGGTGAGATTAGCCCGAGCTCCGGTGTGGGGAGCGAACCCTTTACAAATCATCGCCGAAGTCGCAACCACTATTTCGTTCACCTGCCTTTATATATAATATCCATAATGACGTATGGCCCCACCTTTGGCTGCTGGGTGCTAGCCCGGTGTGTGCCAATCTCCAGGCTTCAGCCAAGTGCTAATGGAAAATAATAGGATGGAACTACCAAACAATGATGTGTAGTGAACAGCAAAGTTCTAGCAAATACATCTATCTATGAGTTGGCCAAGCTGAGTGCTCTCTCTCTCTCTAACTTTCAGGTCTGCTTGCAAGGTATTTCAGATGACGGCAGGGCGCAAGGTTAACTGAAGCAAAACTACAGTCTGTTTCAAAAAGATTAGCAATCAAGTTTGGGTCTTAAAAAGTATGAAGATAAGGGAAATTTGGACAACAAAGTACATAAAATGGCTTGTTAGGGCACGGCAAATTGTTCTGTGAAGGTTTCGGAACAATTGGACCAACCGTTAAGGAGTTAGAATTTCGGCCAGGTTTCTGGCCTTTTCCCATGGTTTATAATTTGCCCTGGAAGCCAGTATCGATTTATTATCAAAACCCACGATTTATCCCTTCCTTTTTGGCCTTGTGGTTATGAATGCTGTCTGCATGCTGACCATGAAGTTGTGAGTTCAAATCCCAACAAATCTTCAAGTCAAACATTTTTTCTTCATTTTTTCATTGTTTTGGTGATCACGCTGGTACAAGACAAAGAAGGTGGCTGCGCCAAACGACTTGTTGTTGGAGCTCGCGTTTCGCGTTTCCTGCCGAACTGACTGACACTTGACTGGCTCATGCCATGTGAAGTTGTGAACACACACAACCGTGACTGAAACCGTGTTTGTGAACACGGAAGTCATTGCGCTGTAGCTAGGTGTTGTTGAATACCCCGGCACATCGATCGATCGATTTCTGTTTGAGAATTATTTTAGTATTTGAACATCGCCAATTTATTTGAATTTAGGAGTCAGCGCCGTCTTCTATCAGCTTTCACAAGCGCCTGCTTTTCTCAAAATGTCGTCGAAGTCACACGGATAGCTTTGCCACATCAAGGCCTTGGGAATGAGTCTGTGTCGATGCCGTTTTCGTCACATCGTGAGAGTAAATTGCATCGGCGGCAGCTCAAAGAATCTATTTGGTCACAAAACGAATTGGGACGCATCCCGCTCGTCAAAATTTACCACACTTTCGACATGTCCTCGACCAGCTCCTCTCTGACTCCATATCGATACGAGGAAGAACTCAGGCGTTTGTTGCAAACCAGACGAACATGCATGTACGAGTACCGACGTCAGTGAGTTGTCATTTTCATGCTTTCGCGCGGAATATTTCTTCGAGTTCACAGTGAGTTTTTCCAGGCAGCGCTCGAGCGCTCATACGGTAAGACGGCAAACTCCCCGGGCGATCGCCAGGATTGCTAATCTTTTTGAAACTGACCATCAACAAGATCATGAAAATTTGATGACATCATGACAATATTGATGACATCATGACAATATTGATGACATCTTTACAATATTTGTAATTTTAGGTACTTTTATTGGAATTCCGCCTATCGAGGGGTTTCCAAGCATTCCATATTACCAAACCTGTAAAAGAAGTGATGAGCAATAGGTAAGCAAATAAAGCGATACAGACATAGTCTAGGGCAGCGCTCTGGGCTTAAAAATATCATTGTAAGCGTGCAGAACTGGGATAACAAGAAGGGCTGAGATTCAAAACCTGATCAGATGTTCAGCTCAATGTAATGAAGCGGTCTGTGGGCACCACCAGACACGGTGTCACATTTCAAAACTGGAACCAAGTAGGGATTTAGAAAAAAACGTAAACGTAAAATGATTCTTTTTTTGCTATTATCCGGAAAGTGATGAAGTGGAGTTAGCGGGTATTGCCTCTCACCCGTTCATATTGACCGAGTCACCGAGCAAACTTGACAAACAATGGGCAAAACCAGTGAATGTGATCCTGCGTTAAACTCACCTTTCAATACCACCACCAGCTTTCAAGACTTTAGCGGAGCTGTTCTAGCCGACTTCTGCGAGGCACATCACCTCTTCGCTTGCCACACTGCGTTTCAGCATCCAGCGCGGCACCAAACAACATGGACTGGCTGGAGAAGAGGACCTCAAGATGGTGCGTCGATCCCTATTAACAATCAATTAGATTAGATATTCTGTCTTCATCGACAACGACAGCTACTTGTGGACAGCCGGTCATATTCTGGTGCGCTGGTGGAGTCTGATCCACCCTGACTGTTGTCATGTTATCTACACATCTGACATTCTGCCTGTTTTTGATTTTTACTGCATAATTTGGGCTGGCATTTCTAAAACACTGATTGCTCGACTCGAAGTTATGCATAGGCGTCTTTTGAAAATATTTTTTCGGCTTCCTCGCCTGACTCCAAGCACAGACTTCTCGACCCACTGCAAACGGCAGCGGAGCCTACTCTAGCACAACATCATCGTCCTGGAATGGAGGAGGGGCCACCGAGAGACACTGAACCTTCACTTCGGCAGTTGCCCTTGCCTCCGCCTGAGCCACCCCCTTTACCTTTGGTGACTACCGAGACGGTGGTCCCCCCGGTGCTGGGATCCACGGTGCCGACTGTGTCTGGACAGAGAGGGAGATCATCGACAAACCAAATGAAACCAATATCCTCACCCATAGACCCAGAAGAAGCACAGCAAACTATTCACTTGAAATTTATGCACGGAATGGACTTGCCCCACGCAAAATGGACAGTGGAAATGGGTGTGCAGTAGCAGAGAACCCAGCAACGGTGACGCGGAGCAGCGGTCAAACGACTTGTGATGCTGGTGGAGATGATGGAGCCATGTTGGAGGCTGATAAGGAGTGCAGTGAGACTGAGCATCAAACGGATGATGAGGAAGTGACTGATGATGATGATGATGGTGGTGATGAGGACGATGATGATGAAGATGAGACGGAGGACGAGGATAAGGCGGAGGAGGTCGAAGGAAAGGAGCGGGATGAGACGGAAGAGAGCGACGTGAGCAAAAAGTCAGCTGTATTTTGTCACTTGTTATCACGTCCAGATTGTCTTGGTGTGTACGATGATTCTCACTTTTCTGTTTTGTGCCGTGCAAGTTATGTTAAGCAGTTGAAGGTTCTGGAAGCTGTATGTATTCGTGTGCATAATCCTGTTCTTTGTAAACAAAAGAAGCATGTAGTGGCGCTAAAAAAATGTTATTATTCTTATATATACATCAAGTAGTACTAAATAATTGAGAGGCTTTGAATCGTTTTTATCAAAATCAAAATATTTGCCGGGTTGGAAGGTGGGATCATCATCATCATCATCATCTGCGTTGCCGAAAAAATAATAAAAGTAAATTTTAAAAATAATAATAAACGGCATTATGCAGCTGTGTAAGCAGTAGATGCACAGTGCGACTGAAAGGCATCTCTGTCAGATGCCAACTGGCAATTCTCATGCAGAGACATACCAGTCCACGAAACGATGCTGTCAGCAAAGGAAATCTTACTGATTGCGGTTATCAACTTGTTGTCTCCTCGCCGTTTGTTCAAATAATAATAATAATAATAATAATACAGCTTTCCTGGATAGGAAGTTGGAAATTGTGTGGTGCCATGACAATGTTTGTACTGCTATTTTTCTCCACAGAACTGGTCGGCGACGAACCTTGCCCTTCATCCCAGACGGTGTTGAAAAGAAGTATGCCTGCACTCCTGTTCAATTACAATGAAGCTCAAGCCTTTTGTAACTATTACAAGGGAACAATTCTCTCTCAGGCATCATTCGCACAAAATTGTCCAGGGGATTTGATAAATACTGATTACACTGCATGGCTGGGATTACCTATGGACGACGGAAATGTACTTAATACGAAAGGTTCGCCAACACACCCGTCTACTAAGCTGTATGCTGTGTGTGAGATAAGTAAGTTACCCTTCAATTTGGTTTTAGCTGGTAGTACTTGGGCATTATGTTTAATTAAGGTGTGACATTGCGGTTTTGAAAAGGTTCCTAAATGGTTTTGTGTCCAAGCACTAGAATGAAAGTCTAGAGGCCGCCATTATGACTTGTGGCACCACAACTTGCACCGCAAGGCCGCCTACTTCTCTACACGGCTTGTTTGTCAGCTCTTTTTTTGGCTTTCTTTTTTACTTTAACAAAGGCACAGGCGACGGTCATGTTCCACTCTACGTTATGGAACTGCCACGGCAAGAATCCCGACAACTTTCCTGGGAAAGCCACCCCAATAATCCTGGCAACTCTCCCGGGAATGCCACACCAAGACTCCCGACAACTCTCCCGGCAACTCTCTTCACTTTCCCGTAACGTGAAGAAAACCTGTTCTGCTCTACGTCCAAGTAGAGAAATCACGTGCAATGTGTACCAGGACTTCTCCTCCCATATTTGGCAGTTTTCTGCCTGTATTTGATCGGTACAGTACCCAGCGGATCTGTACACATTTTCTCAGCGTTTAGAAGTAGTATTCTTTTATTTTATTTATTTATAGTGGAGAAACCAAAAACAGGCAGATGCCTAAGAACAATAGACCCACTGTGTAGGGTGGTGGAAGAGGGGGGGGGGGGGGCATGCCTAATGATAAATAGTGGCGGCGAAATAGAGCAGTTCTAGAACAGCTACAGAAACATGGGCGTAAAGCTAAAAGAAGGCGAGGATGTGTTGCAAAGCGCTTGACTTGAAGACGACATAGAGCAGTTGCAGCACAGCTACAGAAACATGGGCATAAAGCTAAAAGCAGGCAAGAATATGTTGCAACGCGCTTGACATGAGGCCGGCCAGTTTGGTGACGCCTCGGAAATCCGCATGGAGGGAATTCCAGAGAACTGCGCCAGCATGTGTCACCAATTTGATAGAATGTGCAGAAGCAGCGACAGGGACGAGAAGCAGGGTACTGTTGCCGCCTCGAGTTCTTCGTGATGAAAGAGGTCGAAAAAAGTTTCAAACAATCTACTTCCTGAAGAATTTAGACAACGCCATATAAAGCAGAGCAAGTTAAGTTGAATGGTAGCGCACAAGGGAGAGACATGTACACACTCAGGCAGCATAACAGTGGGGGCCCATGGGGGCACTTTACATACAGCAAACTCAGGCAGCACAAAGCATTTGAAGTAGGGGATACGACATGAGAGGGGTAAAGATTCAGCATGGCGGACTAAGACAGCTATTTTGCAGAAACCCTGATAGCAACACAATGAACCATTGTCTGCCAGCTCATTGATGTGTCAAAATGTAAGCGCAGATACTTGGCCGATGGTACCACCGGCAGATCTTGCGTTTGCAACAATGTAGAGACCTTCCTATCCACTCTGTCTAGTCTGGACACAAAACACGGGAAGCTGTAGACTCTAACCCAGACACCTACTCTCTACGTGAATTTCTCTAGGTCTCACGTCACACGTAAACCACTTTAAACTCTGGCTTTTCATTTGGTGTATTACCACATTTGCTTTTTATATATTTTTTATGTTCACATTCCCAGCTCGAAAATAATAAAGAAAGACGATGGTACTGAGACCGGGGGCGCGTTTGGTTGGTACGAACTAGAACAGGATTCACCAGAACAGCGCGTTTGGTTGGGACTGCACCTGTTCTGGGTCGGCCAGAACATGTTCTGCTTGCTAGCAGACCGAGCAGTTTCACTTTTTCACAGTGAAACCTGGCGGGAACATCGATTTTGTTCCCAAATGATCACGTGCATATGCTTTTGGGTTGGACTCGTCGTACCGTACAAAGTGACCATGGTGATCCGTACACATTTTGAAGAATGCACCAAGTTTGGCACATTTTTCAACAAAATGTGCTCTGTTTCTGGAGTAGCGTTTGGTTGGCATGAGGCTGCTCCATGTGCACCAGCTGTTCGATCAACCAAACCCACCCTAGGCTAAACATGACAACTACTGAGCAGGGGCTGCACCAACACGTAGCAGTGGTGATGGTGGTGGGGCGTTGTTGTCAATACGCAGCAGCAGTGATGGTGGGGCATTGTTGTCAATACGCAGCAGTGGTGATGGTGGTGGGGCATTGTTGTCAATACGTAGCAGCAGTGGTGGTGGAGCGTTGTTGTCAATACGTAGCAGCAGTGATGGTGGGGCGTTGTTGTCAATACGTAGCAGCAGCAGTGGTGGTGGGGCGTTGTTGTCAATACGTAGCAGCAGTGGTGGTGCGTTGTTGTCGTAAAATGACAAAGTTTCTGTTATGAGAATTATCTTAATATCTCTGCCAGTTTTGTGCCCGGCAATTTGGAATTTTTGTTGTTTACGGATTTCCCAAGGCTTTCGCCTATGTGGGGGTTTCCAAACTTTCCAAAATATCAAATTTGTAAAAGAAGTGATGAGCAAGAGGGGAGCAAAGAAAGAGGTGAAGACAGGGCAGAGCCCGGCGTTATCGCACTATCCGACTGTTTATGATTTCATTGTCCCTCCTTCATCAGGCACTGAGGTAGGTGATCATTCATCAGACACTGAGGTAGGTGATGAAGAGACATTGCATGGTCAGGGGCATAGCAGCAGAACCGTCCAGATCACTTTTTCCCACTGAAATGCCCAGAATGCAGGATGTTGCACCCTAATTTCGAAAAATTCCCACGGGACTACCCCTGACCCCTCAAATCGGACCACCTCCAACGGCAGTTCTATGCACCTGAAGATAACAGAAGATTTGAAGAGGTAGATGATGCATAGGCATTGCACGATAGCAGAAGATACAGAGAATAACAGTAGTAAAATCGAACCAAGTCCAGATCCTGGAAAATAGGGGGAAGAGCAGCAGGTGGCGTAAACACACGGCATCTTAACAAATGCAGCGTGGCAATATTCTGGTTATGCTTGCACAGGTTATGCTGCTGGGTGTGAACATACAGTTTCTAGCATCCTCAAAGTGCGATCGCAATGACCACGTGACGCAGTAGAGAGAAGTCGGCAGAAAAGGCAATTCTGGGTTTACTGACAGATGGTTGGCAATGATGGATTGATTAATACTGTAGGCACTGATGTCATCAGTTCATGTTCACTTCCTCCGAGTCTAGGTACCGTTGCATGGTTTATTCCACTGACACAGCTCTTGTTCTCCATATACCAATCTGTCGGTAGTGTTAATAATATTATATTCGTGAATCGAACGGTCGACGAAGATCCTATGATGTGGATTCGAATTAGTGAGTGATTAGCCCTGTAGTAAATCGATTTGGAAAGAGGGAAATCAGTCAGACGATAACATAAAGATCAAGTGCGGACTGACATTCAATTCATCGCAGGCGTCAGTCTTCAATCTATGCTTTGCACGTAACATGACGTACTGTATATCCAGAAATATTGGTCTGGAATTTTATTTCGTCTTTTTCGTCCAAGGAGCTTTTGGACTAAATTAAACGTCGGACTAAAGTCGATTTGAAACTCGGATGTTGAGCCAATATGATGTGTAGAAAGGAAGAGCACATATGGATACGAGTTAAGAGTAACTCTCCATCACTGTAACTGGATACTATATTATACAGTCAGAAAGTGCAATAACTAGGCAAAAACCTGACAGAGTGCTGAGACATTCGACGTCCTGACACCTAGCTTCAACACATCTCCGTAGCGCTAAACGACAGCCTTCCAAACTTGGAAGGTTCAATGTTATGGAAAGACCAAAGAGAGGAAGGCAAGCGCAACGAAAACGAGCAAAAGCTACAGTCCCAACGGAACAAAGAATGTCGATTATTACTGGACGATGACGAGACCAGTACAATATTTGACAAAGCGGTCTAACTACAATTCGAAGCAGCAAAGCAGCACACCATCCAACTTGTGTGGGTCATAAATATCAAAGGCAAATAGAGAAAGGGGAAGCTTTGCGAAAACGAATTGTACAAGCGAAAGCCAAACTCCTACAGTACTCCTCATGCATGGCATTGTGATGGACTAGTTGACTACAAAACAAGTGGTTTCACACGACGTACGTTTCGCCGTTTTGTGGCTAGTTATTGCACTTTCTGACTGTATAATAATAAATAATAGTATCCAGTTACAGGGATGGAGAGTTACTCTTAACTCGTATCCATTATGTCCTTTTCCTTTCTACATAAAGTCGATTTGTCCAACTATTAAATACACTCTAAACAATCTCTTATGGTCCATGGACTAAATTTTAAAACGGACGCACTCCCTTTTTTCGGAATTGGACGAAATTATTGACAGACTAAATTTACTGCCATATTCGTACCTGAACTGTGAACTAACTCTCGTTTTCTTCACTCTGTCCACAGATCCAGACTGCACTGTACCTGATGTTGCTAATGGCATTGCTGACAGATCAGTGATAAAGTTCCAGGAGAATGTGACCTTTTCCTGCAAAGTGGGGTATAATATGGTTGGTGATGCGACACAAAGTTGCTTAGTCGGAGGAAATCTTACGTCACTACCCAAATGTGAAGGTAAGCTCAGCCTCTTCTAAATACAACTCGGAAGGTGGGCCAATTAAATTATGGTCAAAAAGGAGAAGGACAAAATGTTAACTGTCCACCAATGTAACCAGATATTGTACAGTCAGCGAGTGCAACATAATGGTACAAAACTGACAAGGAGTACTGAGACATGCGGCGACCTGACACCTAGCTCCAACACTTCTCCAAGGCGCAAACCAACAACCTTCCAACTTGGAAGGCTCAGGTTCGGAAAGGTCCAAGAGGGGAAGGAAAGCGCAACGAAGAAGAGCACGAGCTACGCATCATGGCAACAAAGCACTCACACTCGCTGACTGTATACGATCTGGTTACGTTGGTGGACAGTTAGTCATAACTCGTAACATTTTGTCCTTCGCCATTTTCACCCTTCTAAATAAATTATTTTATACAATCATTTAAAAACTCGGATGTTAAACAAATAATAAATGTAGGAAATGAACAATGGACTCGGATGCAGAGCCAAGGATAAAATTAATTTATAGTAAAGAAAACAAGCTTTTTGCGATGCGACACGCAATCTATCCTCAACCTACAACCAACGGACACTGATTCGCTCGAGAATTCATTAGTAGCTACTTCTAGTGGACAATGTGAGAGAATAGACACTCTTAGCAAAAAAAACGTTATGTTGTAACGGTATTACCGTAAGGGGGAAAATACCGTGATTTGTGTTCGACCTTAAGCAAGATGCTCGCTATTTTTAGTAAGCTGTTGCCACGAGAATAACTTTTATTTCGCTCGGTACAACCACTTATGTCACCATATATGTGATACAAGGTGAAATGCGTACGGACTATGCAGTATTTGACCAAAAAACGTACCGTTGGTCACAACGATAAGTCAGCCCCATAACGTTTTCACGCTGCTGCTTCAACGCTATTTGGGTGATCAAGGTACGAGTAGCGTAAAAACTAGCGTTACCGTTGTTTGCTACCGGTGACTAATAGGGAGGTTTAGTCCCACGTAATCCGTGTGTACTTTGCTTGTGTGTACCACGTCATACTCAGTGACCCACATACAGCCGTTTTCTGATTCATAACAAACCATGTATGGAGGCTCACGTGGGTGAAAAATCAGAATCGAGAGCATTGTGCGAGCTGTGAGGGTGCTCAGCTGAAGAAGTTTCGGAAGCATGAAATCGAGAATATTCGATGAGCTTCGAAGTTTCGTCTTTGAACAAGTTTGGGCCTTCCACTTCATGCTTTTGTTTGTTCCGTGTGACTAAAATAAACATTGCGAACGTGGGTCCATTACATGAACTTTACATGTATCACCCACGTTCCTTTAAACCATAAGAGGACAGGGAAAGTGTTTTAACTCTGGGTTTCATGTACTAAGCTGTCATCAGAAAACTGTTATCCTATGATGGCTTAGTGCGTGAAACTCAGTGTTAAAACACTCTCTCTGTCCTCTTATTGTTTGAACCAGCTCTGCCTCTCGGTGTTGAGCACTCTCTTGGACCACCTGGAACCTCTCTATTTTCCCGTATCCGGTACGTGGGACTAAACCTCCCTTATAAGAGAAGCAAGGTGGGTACGTGGGACTAAACCTCCCTTATAAGAGAAGCAAGGTGGGTACGTGGGACTAAACCTCCCTTATAAGAGAAGCAAGGTGGGAGCGAGCACAAGAGGTGTAATGGCGATGACAGATTGACTTTTTGTGTTAGAGACTGTTGTCAGTAGGTCATCTGCCACGCGAGGTCATCCGCTTTCATAATTATAACCTTCTGCATGATTTAAATCATTAATTTTTATACATACATTTTCATTCACTCTTCATAATTTTGTCGGAACTAGGTCTCTGGACCTGGTGAGAAAAGCAGAAATGCTTGTTCGCTTGGTGAAGTAAATATAAAAATATAAAAAGAAACAGGTGCACCAGATCACCTTTTGCTGTCTGTTGCATTGTCTGTTATGTTGTCTGTTGTGTTGTCTGGTTTGCTTGCACATCTGTTGCTGTTCTTGGTCTGTGTATTGGGTGCAACGATGGTCTTTCATTCCATCTGCTCGATTTTCCAGAACACTCTTCTTCTAGTAGGGTTTCAGAGCTGGTAGGTTTGTGTGTGAGTGAAATGAGAAACCCTCAGGTGGAGCTGGTAGGTTTGTGTGAGCGAAGAGAGAAACCCTCAGGTGGAGCTGATAGGTTTGTGTGAGTGAAGACAGAAACCCTCAGGTGGAGCTGACAGGTTTGTGTGAGTGAAGAGATAAACCCTCAGGTGGAGCTGATAGGTTTGTGTGAGTGAAGAGAGAAACCAACAGGTGGAGCTGGGAGGTTTATGTGAGTGAAGAGAGAAACCCTCAGGTGGAGGTGATAGGTTTGTGTGAGTGAGGAGAGAAACCCTCAGGTGGAGCTGATAGGTTTGTGTGAGTGAAGAGAGAAACCCTCAGGTGGAGCTGGTAGGTTTGTGTGAGTGAAGAGAGAAACCCTCAGGTGGAGCTGGTAGGTTTGTGTGAGTGAAGAGAGAAACCCTACACATGTACCTGCAGTCATTACGTATGATTTATACAGTGGCAGTATAAAAAAAAAGGGTGAACGTCGTACTCATCGTGTACACATGTACCTGCCGCTGTATCACCAGCCAAGGATTTCGCCAGATTCCGAGTCGCTTCCGAGTCACGATGCGCCTTACTAGCTTCGTGCTCTTTCACCACTTCTACCTACAAAGCAAGTTGCCAACAGATCCGAATAAAAAAATTAGTTTTCGGAAGTTGCGGAGTCAAGAATATCGTTGTAGTACGAACCCACTTTCAATCTCGCGCAGCCGGCGGTTATCCAGGCATTCCTCCCGTAGCCACCGTTGACAACTTTGCCACGGAAATGCGTCGCGCACCAGGAGCAGGTCATCTTTTTTCGTCTCTATGTCGTAGACAAGCCATGGACGACCTGTTTTCCAAGAGTCCTGGAAGCAGAGACTGTGGATCCACCTCTTCGCTGGAGGCTCCATTTCCAAAAACAACACCTCAATGATCAAGCTCGAACCGAGCACATGCACACACCGGAAAGTGACTCATGACTTTCACTTCGACGCGCGCCTCTGCATGATCTGTCACACATACAAGCTATGTAGTCAGTCCTTTCAAAGTTCAAACGTGTAAAGTGCCAACTGGGTCACAGGTGACCCGGTACTATATTGTCAACGGGGTCCAAGCGCCACCAAACCGGGTATATTACCCGGCTCACCCGGCTCTGGAGCAGACACTGGGCACCAGACGATTCATCAGCTGGGTGTTTCTCTGTACGGAATTTTGGTAGGCCAGTCCACTGTAAACATCCAATCCGCAATTCCCACCACTGTAATCTTTGAGCTTGGATTCTTTACAGCACTCGAAGGACAGCTACTCCACTGCGAGTGGTGGACCCAGCAGTGACAATATCGAAAGCTACACACACACACACACGCATACACGCATACACATACACACACACATACACACACACACACACACACACACACACACACACACACATACACACATACACACACCCACACACACACACACACACACACACACACATGCACCTTGGATTTTTTCGATTGTCAAATGAAGCAGTGCCGGGTCGACGCACACCACACCTTACGGATCTTGGAGTGGGGAGGGGGGGGGGGGGGGGGTAGATCGTAGAAATCCAGGAGCATTATACTTGAGGGTGAAAGTCAAAATGTCAAGTCAAGATTTGCATGTTCACATTGCATACTATTGCAAAGTATGTGACTATTTCAGTTTTTCAGTACCATTTGGGCTGGGTATCTCCGCTAGGCTCAAAAGCAAAATCTCATTGTCGAATTGTGAGGTGACAATGATGTCGTACAGCAAACCAGTGTTTTGTGCCGAGTTTAACGTATTGTTATTCTCATATCAGTGCATTTCCTGGTGTGTTTATGTTGTTTACAGCTGTCAATTGTACCGTACCCAATATCACAAATGGACAGCAAGCTGTACCGAACATATCTTTCGAACAAAAGGCCAACTATTCATGCAGCGCTCACCATGTGTTAGTTGGAGATGCACGGCCTGCATGCCAGGCTAATCGCACGTTGACTTCCAGACCCATATGCAAAGGTGAGCAACGTCGCTCGATGGTTAATAACTGCCAGTGTGTGGTTTGGATGTTCGAACTTTTACGATGTGACGCGCAACTTTCGACACCTGCAAAGAGCTACGATCGTGACACAGCTTTTACTATCTTTTTGTTTGTTGCGCCATCCTTAAACACTACATGTGAAAAGTAAGCAGTGATTATAAAAAGTGAACCATACCTCTTGCTTGCTTCAGCTCGCCTATGTCTATTGCTTTATGAGCTAATAGTGTAACCTTTCATTTACTGTTTTCTAGCTGTGACCTGCCAAGTACCAACTATCAGCAACGGGACATCTAGCCAAACAGGGATGATCAGATATCAAGAATCGGTAACCTACACCTGCAATACTGGCTACACACTGAGTGGAGTGAACACATCAACATGTGCAGCTGATGGGACTATACTATCACCCAGTTGTCTAGGTGAGCAAAAGGATATCAATGTACTGATCTGCGCTCGATTCTCCTTTGTTTCTCTGCATAATATTTAGTTCACAGTGGTTGGCTACCACCTGACTTCTCATAAATAGTGGCAGTCTAATTACGACGAGCCTGGTCCCGCAATCTGGATTCTTTTCAGTCGCGCCTCCGCTAGTCTCTGGCTTCTCCTCAGATCCGTTTTGCTTCCGTTTTCGTTCCGTTCTAATGGTGTGTGCCCGACGGTGCTAACAGAAAGGTTACCAGCAGAACGAAACGAAAATGGAAGCAAAACGGATCTGAGGAGAAGCCAGAGACTAGCAGAGGCACGACTGACAAGAATCGAGAAGGCGGGACCAGGAGAGGCAGGTGAAGGTACGGGCGCACCACGGTGCACTCTTCGAGGAGAAAGAAGCGGTGGCGTGAGGAGATGGGGATGGAGGGTGATGATGGGGATGGAGGGTGATGATGGAGATGAACAGGATGGTCAGGGAGGCAGCAAGGGTGAGAAGTCAAATGTCTAGTCGAGATTTAGCAAAGTCACATTCCATACGACATCAAAGCATTTATATTTTTTATTTCAATGCACAAGTACACACGGGCTGCAAGCCCAATTACATGGAAGAGAATGTGATAATGGCGTAAATTTTGAAAAAAAGGTGGCCGAAGAAGGCGGACGGTGGCAAAGCAACAGGGAGGAAAATTCAAGAGCAAAATTAACAATTGCACAAATGTGAGAGTACCTGAGATCGAGGGTATCTGTATGTTAGTACATATATTTTAGTATTTCGGTAACATTTGGACTGGGTACCTCCGCTAGGCTCAAAAGCAGAATCTCTTTGTCGATTTGACAGGTGACAATGATTTCGTACAGGAAACCAGTGTTTTGAGCTTAGGTTCACTTATTCTTATTCCCCATGTCAGTGAAGTTCTGGTGTGTTTCTATTATATACAGCTGTCAATTGTACTGTACCTAATATCACAAATGGGCAGCAAGCCGTATCGGAAATATCTTTCCAGCAAGCAGCCAACTATTCATGCAGCGCTCATCATGTGTTAGTTGGAGATGCACAGCCAACATGCCAGGCTAATCGCACGTTGCCTTCAACACCCACATGCAAAGGTGAGCAACGTGCACATTGCTGAAGTTGAAATTTCTCCCGCTACAGGAATCGTGAGACTGCTTCTGCAGTCTGCAGGTCACTGGGTTGCGACGCGAAGAATCTCCGGACCTCTCTTCGCGTTTCCGTGATGCAAAGAAAATCTGTTCTGCTTTACGTCACGTAGAGACAGCACGTGGAATGTGAACTGGTAATTTCTCCTTCCATATTTGATATTTGATCGATGGCCAGCAGGTCTCTACTGCTTTATGAGCTATCAGCACAAGTATAACCTTTCATTCAAACAATAGGCCTGGAACCTCTCTGTTCCTTCATTTACTGTTTTCTAGCTGTGACCTGCAAGGTACCAACTATCAGCAACGGGACATCTAGCCAAACAGGGATGATCAGATATCAAGAATCGGTAACCTACACCTGCAATACTGGCTACACACTGAGTGGAGTGAACACATCAACATGTGCAGCTAACGGTACTATACTAACACCCAGTTGTCTAGGTGAGCAAAACGGGTATCAATGTGTCCTGATCAGATGAGGGGATAACCAAGTGTGCCAGCCTTTCAACATTTACTGTGCATACCGTGTCACAGTTTCTACTACCTAATGATGCTTTACTCTAGCTGGGCTCACACAATGGGAGAAACTTGCGAGAAATTCTCACTCTGTGTAGTGAAGGTTTCTTTTTTTTGTGAAATGCCGTCAAAACTTGTCTTCGGTGTAAAGGTGAAGATAGATGACGAATTTGGATGACTGCGACATATTAATGCCTCAAGAGCTATCCTTGTAGGCAAAGCTCTCCAGGTGGAGGAGCCATCTGGATGTGTTCACGTTCTCTTCACGCTGTTGGTCAAGGATCCAACAAAAACATCATATCAGATAGGTCGCTCGAGATACTTTTAGATATGATAACACAGTAGCAAAAGCAACGGCAATCCTCAGACAACTGCTATCTCGTCATACATGTGCTTGTGGTAGACTATTAAAATGTGCTCTGTGCAGCCTGGGCTTAAACCCATAGGGACTGTATTCAATCTGAGCAGTGCTCAAGCTGGCTTTCATGTCGCGGAATGTCTCAGTGCTCCAAGTCAGTTTTGTGCTAGATTGTGCATGTCCGGCTGTTCAAAATCTAGTTCGATTGGTTTACTCGATCACATGTTTCCATGTTACAAACGTTAGTGAGTACGCAAGCGTCGCCCTCGTGTTTACAGGAAAAAAACCCTCGGCAAAAACCCTCGGCTTCGCCTCCGATTTTTGCCTCGGGCTTTTATTTCCCCTAATAACTCGGGACTCACTTCATATTCTATACGTAAGAGCCAGTTCTGTGTAGGCAAAAGTAACATGTAGTAGGCCTGAAGTTTTATTCGTAAGTTCACAAATTGTGAATTTTGTATATAGCTCATTAATATTACCTCACCTGGTTGCTACCGCTCATTTCGTACCACTTTTGTATAATTTTATTATTCTACTAATCATGTATTGCTCTGCTGTACATTATCCTACTTCGGTCACAAAAATCCACGGATGGTAGTGAAAAGAAAATTGATTTTGGTTACACCTCTTCTGAGACTTCTTTGTTGTGTATCATGACCACGGAACGAATATTATTCATTGCTATCATCAAATTATCGTCTCCACGCCGCTTTACTTCACTGTTTTCTAGCTGTGACCTGCCAGGTACCGACTATCAGCAACGGGACATCTAGCCAAGCAGGGATGATCAGATATCAAGAATCAGTAACCTACACCTGCAATACTGGCTACACACTGAGTGGAGTGAGAACATCAACATGTGCAGCTGATGGTACTTTACTATCACCCAGTTGTCTAGGTCTAGGTGAGCAAAACGGTATCAATGTATCCTGATCAGATGACAATGATAATAAAGTGTGCCAGCCTTTAAACATTTACTGTGCATATCGTGTCACAGCTACTACTACCTAATGATGCTTTAATCTAGTTGGGCTCACACAATGAGAGAAACTTGCGAGAAATTCTCACTCTGTGTAGTAAAGGTTTTTGTGAAATGCCGTTAAAACTTGTCTTCGGTGTAAAGGTTACGATAGATGACGAGTTTGGATGACTGCGACATATCAATGGCTCAAGAGCTCTCCTTGATGGCAAAGCTCTCCAAGTGGAGGAGCCATCTGGATGTGTTCACGTTCTCTTCACGCTGTAGGCGGCTATGCATGTTTCTGCGGTTGTGTTTCTTATTGCGTGTGCGTGTGTGTGTGTGTGTGTGTGTGTGTGTGTGTGTGTTTTAGAACGATCCATTGTTCTGTGTCTGTTCGTGTGTCTGTTCATGTGTGTGTGTGTGTGTGTGTGTTTGTGTGTGTGTG